TTTTTATATTAAATGCTATTTTCTATGTAGATCACCGATCTGCAAATTTTATGCAGAAGAAGCCAAATGCAGCATTTTCTGCTTAGGAAATATTATTTCTGCATAGAAATATCTTTTCTTGCACATAAAATGCTATTTCCTGTGGAAAAATATGTTTTCTGAATAAAACAAGCATATGAGAATTTTGTGCAGAATTAGTCTTGAGATTTTTATCAGTCCAGGACTTTTCTCATTAAGGTTTCTTGACACTTGAAAAACATGTTCTTGTTTCTGAAAACTTTTGGAATATTTTCAAACATTCTTTCTCTGTTCCTGCTGCCCTTTTACTGTCAGGGATTTTTATTTTTATTTATTATTTTATTTTGCTTTATTTTATTTTATTTGCCTCATGAGCCAAAACCTATACGCTATATACCTTGACTGTATTGAATCTGAAATGTTATCTGCTGCTCCATCTGAGGCAGCAAAATGCTTCCAGTTGACCCTGCTTCTGCTAGCCCAAGGGAATGAAAGCAACTCTCCTTAGTCTAATAGGCAGAAACTAACCAATTAAAATCAATTAGTTATCAATTAACTTGGAAATTTTCTGAAGGAAAAGAGTAGCTTAATTCATTTTTTAATCAATTGACTGTTTAAGTTAGAATTTCAGTATTAATTCCATTCCAGAATTGGATTATTAATTAAATATTAATTACTTAAATGAGAGAGAATACTAAAGAGCTAATTAATTTTACATTCCCCAGCTCTTTTCTCTTGAATTTTTTCTAAACTACTTTGCACTTTTTGTTAGTCAGGGGAAATATAAAGTTTGTGTCACAAGATCTCAACTATGTACTCAAGAGTAGTTCCAGTGAGATGAATTGTGTCACATGCTTGTAAGTTTTGCAAGCTAAGTAACTCACCTTCCTCCATGCTTACTCATGCCCACCACATTTTCAAAACTAATGAAGATCCTTATCATGGATATTACTAATATTGCTATTATATCTATAAAATCTGGAGGACTTCAGAAAATTGTAGAAATACTTGAAAGTCATATAAAATAAAGACCAAAAAAAAAAAAAAGCCAAAGCAGATATTAAAGCAGATACTTTGGCTGGCATCCTGTTCAGTGGTTACAAGGTCATAAGCTGGATTTAGGATCTCATAGGATTCCCATTTATGGATGTTAAGAACCAAGTATGACCCACAAAACTTATCATTTTGGCCTGATAGCACAGTTGACAGAGCTTCATCATTGTAATTACAGACTTTATCACACCAGCCTGTTGTTCCACTACAACAGTGGTTGTTTAAGAATGGAAGCATACCAGTTTGGCGTAATTTGTTATCACACTTTTCCCCATGATATTGCTTTGGTAATCATGATTGTGTGAATTGATTTTTGCACTGCTAAACACGTTGGCAGCCATGATCATAGCTCCAGCCCCTCCCAAAGTGTGGGATTGTTGTGTGCACATTCATACAGCAGCCCTGTGCTTCAGAGGGATGAGCAATTATGGCTGCCACCCAGCTCTTGAAGCCAACTGCTGTATGAATGTGCACACAGCAGCCAGCTTTGGGATGGTGGCCATGATCAATCCTCCTCCCCTTTCCTTTTCAGGAGGAAGTGGAGGGGACAAGTGATCCTGGATGCCAACCACCCCCCAAAGCTGGCTGGTGTGTGAATGTGCACACTGCAGCCAGCTTCGGGAGGGTGTTGGCAGCTGCAATCACTGCAAGGGGAAGGGGGAAAGGAGGGAAGGGCATAGGAGCAGAATCATGGCCATTCACACCATGGGACTGCCTGAGAAGCAGAACTGCAACGGGAGGGACCTATCACATGATGGCTGTAATGGAATAACAATGAAATTAAGAGCCTTTTGACAGGTTTTGCCCATCAATGAAAAGGTGCACTACAGTAACAAATGGAATGCAAGGCTACAGCAGGATGGACACAATGTCATGTGATAAGTACCAGCAAAAGAAGCTTTTTTCCCTGTTAAAATTCCACTTTTCTAACCTCATGTGATAAAGTACAACATTTTCAATGCAAAATCTTGGCCATAATTTCAGGCTATATTCTCCCCACTTTACAGACCCTTTTTGGCTTAAATCCAATTGCTTGTTCCAGCTAGAGCAGACACACTAACTCAATTGCTGAATGGTAAGTTAACATTTACATATTGTTGATTCAATGAGTCTGTTTTAGCTGGAACTAGCAATTAGATTTATGTCATAGTCCCAAAGACATATCTTTCTAAACATCTGTAGGCTGCAATCCTATCTATACTTGCCTGAACACAGTGGGACTTACTTCTGAGTAGGCATATACAGAATTGCACTGTTAGGGCCTCTACAGACAGGCGGCTGCCCCGAGAAGCCGAGGACTGGGGCTGAGGGTGCCCCACGCCTTGGCCCCAATCCACCCTTTCGGTGACTGGGATAGGAGCACCAAAATAGTGCTCCTTTCCCAAGCCATGGAAAGGGTGCCACAAGAGCCACCATGCGGCTCTTTTGAGCCTCTTCCATCAGTGTGTAAAAATGCTGCACCAGAAGGATGTCATCGGAGCACTCACCGTGTGCATCGGGCACTCCGATGACATCCTTTGGAAGGGGTTGGGGCATCCGGTGTCCAGCTGCCCCTCCCCTTCCCTGGCTCCAAGATGGTGCTTTGCGCCATCTGCAGAGCCCCTTAGTCAATAAAATTCAATTTCCAAAATAAAAGAAAATGTAGGTTTTACCAGAGTTACATTAGATTAAGTTAATAAATATGTTTGTATGAACAGGGAGCAGGGGAGTAAAATCATGAATGGCATTTTTCAGCATCAGTCTAATAAGGCTTTTAGTGCAAGCTTTAAATTTAAATGACAATTGACATGAAGTTCATAGTCATTTTTTCTCCTTCTAATGTAAATGCAATTGAATTAGATTTGTTTGGGGCAGGCTTATTAACTAAATACACCAGCCTTTTATTTACTATCTTTCATATCTCATGGAAAGCTAAGGATATGGAAGGCATTTTTGCAAAGGGGGAATGGGGAAGCTCAGCTGTTCAGAAAGGGGAGAAAAAGGTCTCCCTGTCTCTTCAAGCTTGTGCTTTCAAACCAAGTTTTCAGATGCAAGCAGAGTCCTCCTAGTTCCAGCCAGGTGGAATCAGGGTTTCTCTTTCATAGAAATATACATGGTTTGCTGGCTCTTTGTTTTCATGCTATTCTGTGTAGCCAGAGGCTATTGGCATTATTCTCAGGCACAGTTTTATTCTCTTGTTTCAAGCCTGTCTTATATACTTTATATCTATCAATCACAGACACCTTTTGCAGGGAAAATTAGACTCACAGAACTTTCTTAGGGGAAGGCTCTGCCTTCTAAGAGCTCCATCCATTTGCTAGTGGAAACCACAAAAGCCCCATCAAATTGTCAAAGGAAATCAGAGAATTGCTTGTGAGTAAAACCTACAGAAACTCCCTCTCTATTGAAATCATAGAGGTGCCACCTCCTTTCCCGTATAAGTCAATGAAGTCCCTCCTACAACTAGTTGAAGTCATAGTTTCTGGTTTTGTCCCTGAACCGACACTATCCTTTTGAATTTTTCTCCACACTGCTGGGGGTTATAATATATTTTGCAATGAAAATGGGACTCCTTGGTAGAACTGCAACCAAGGATCCTCCAACAAAAGAAAATAGATTTGTTCAGCAATTGTATTTTATTGCATTGTTAATAAAGACTGCATTTTTAGTTTAACTTTGGTAAACTTCATAGCTACTGCCCTTTGTCAGAAGAAAGTCTGCATGCATGCCAAATCAGTCTAAAATTGTTGTTGCTTTCAAGTTGTTTCCAACTTATAGTGACCCTAAGATCCTATCATGGGGCTTCCTTGGCAAGATTTGTTCAGAGGAGGTCTGAAATCTAACATTACATTAAGCGGTACTTAAACTTTAGTCCTCCAGATGCTTTGTACTTCAATTCCCAGAAGTCCTAGCCAGCTTGGCCACCAGTCAGGAATTCTGGGAGCTGAAGTCCAAAACATCTAAAGGACCAAAGTTTGGGAATCACTGCATTATTTTTCTACCATGTTGTGAGAGTGCATCACATTTCTAAAGTCATCAAATACATTTTAGAAGCAGGTTTGAGCACCTTGGATAACCCCTTTAAAATTTGAATTAAAACACAGAATGGATTCACCAGCACCCATTGAAGTAGAAGCCACCAGCTGTCCTAAGTCTGGGTAAAGCCTAGATACTTGAGAGCAGCACAGCATCTCTGCTCTCTCCTGTCTCTTTGTTTTGTCTCAGCCTTCCTTTCTGCATTTCCTAAAGTCCAGGCTTCTTTGTGGCAGGGAAGATGAGACAAGTTCAGAGCTAGAAAAATTTATAAGGAAAAGAGTTCAAAGTAAAACTGCAGGCTAAGCCTATGGCATGTTCCTCTTTAGTTCTAGTTGGCCTACCTCAGAAAAGGATTTAATAAGGAAAAGAGAAGAATAAAGGAGAGGAGGGGGGGGAAGGGCAAAAAATAATTAGAGGACTAGAAAAATCTTCCTTTTCCAGAGGAACTCTACATATTTTTGGACTCCAGCTCCCATCAGCCCCATCTGGTGGCCAAAGGTCTGGGATAATGGGGCACATATTTCCTGCCCTGGCACAGAAAGATGTCAAAAGGTCACTTTCACACACAGCATTTTCCTTCACAGGTATGAGGTTGGTGTTGCAAAAATCACAGGGAAACTGTTAGCAGTTGACATATTCAGGGGTAGCTGTGTTGTCCATGCAGCAACATGCAACAAAAAAATACAAATAGCAATACCTTTACTGGATCAACTAAAAAGCACAAAAATTAAAAGTATCGTGTACTTTTTAGTTGGCACAGTAAAAGTATTGCTGCTTTGGATTTTGCTAGCAGTTAGTCATACATCAAAGTGAAGAGAGAGAGAGAGAGAATATAAAACTAGGGCTATATCTGCAATTAGGTAGAGCGAGGCTGTCACTTCAGGTATCACATCAGGTATCAGAGTCTGGTGAGAGGCAGCGTGGCGTAGTGGTTTGAGTGCTGGACTATGACTCTGGAGACCAAGGTTCAATTCTCCACTTGGCCATGAAACCCACTGGGTGACCTTGGGCAAGTTACATGCTCTCAGCCTCAGGGGAAAGCAATGGCAAACCTCCTCTGAACAAATCTTGCCAAGAAAACCCCCTGGTAGGCTTGTCTTAGGGTCACCATAAGTCAGAAATGGCTTGAAGGCAAACAACAACAACAGAGTCTGAGTTTCACAAAACAGCATCACATTCTTAGCTGTTTGCAGTTGCTATTATTCTGTTTTTATGGGGGGGTATTTCTAAGATTTGCTGTGAAGGACAGTAAGTTTTACCTATTGAATTTCTGCTTGCTAGACCTTTTAACCTACAGTTACATAACATCTATCAAGAGGAAACAGAAAAACTGCAGCTCTCCTGAAACTCCTTTTGATAACTTAAATTAATTCTATACACTTTCCCTTTGGACCTTAATCTGTTCTTCCTTTTTTGGTTTTCTGCTGGCTTTGCAAGGTTTTGATTCATTACACCATGTTTGTCTGGGTTTCACAAAAACAAAGATGTACATATTTTATAGCCATATCATTTGTAGCAGGAAAAATTACCTGTCTGTATACAAGCATAGTTTTAAGCAAGTATTACAGAGGCACCATTTATTCCCAGAGGAAACTGTTCATCACAATGCTGCCATCTTTACCATGACAAAGAAGGGGGGTTCTACTCAGGATATTCTGACTATAAGAAACACACAAAGAATGGAGCACCATAATGACAGATCATTCAAGCCAAATGTAGCTACATTATATAGGCAGCTATCTAGAGCTTGGAATGTGTCTTTCATAAAGGAATTTGCTAGGTAACTCCAAAAACTAAGCCATGGGGCACTGAACCAGAATCTCCACAGTCCTAGTCTAGTACTAATACAACTCATTATCTCTTCTAACCACTGCAAAGTAAATAAATAAATAAATAAATAAATATAGTAGGATACGATGGTGATGCACAAACAAACCATTGCAATATCCCCCATATTAGGTAATATATCAATAGAGGAAGCAGAACAACCCTGGGAGGTGAGTGGGGCATGGTAAAGTATCTGGCTAAAAGATTCAAGTACCTAATGAGATTAATGGTTGTGCAGGAGTTGGAAGACCTTCTAGCCACCACTTGTCACAAAAAATACATAGTCATATAGGCACTTGTTTCATAACAAGTGACTATGAAAGAATATGGGATAGAAAGAATATTTGTGGGATGGAAACAATATTGGTAATTATTCATTCCCAGATCAAACATGGGGTTCAAGAAGAAGCATAGGCCAGAATGAATTTTGTGCAATTTTCTGCTGGTGTTTGACATCCCAGTGTTATGGAGGAACACTTTATGAATATTTATTCCTTGGAGAACAATTTTTTTATTATTATTTCTGTTTTTCACACATTTTTGTGCAAAAAAAATCCTCGTGTTTTACAAAGAAAATGGGCTTCCTGAGCAGAGAATAATGTTCTCTATAAAAAACAAACAAACAGATTTTTGTGCCAACACAACAAAACATGTTTTTCTCTGCAGAATAATTTCTCCTCAGCACTTCAGGTTGTTCAAATATGGATAAAATGCTGTTGAGAAATATTCCTTTGCTCTCAGAGTTTGGAGGAAACTACTATACTTATTCATCCTTCATGAAAGGACAAAATTATTGAGCATTGACACCCATGCAGGTCAGGCCATTACTGCTCCCTCAGAACTGTATACACTGGAATCCTGGAGATCTGCCACTCATTTCTGCTACAGTGAGAGGTGCCAGCCAGGGTCTGACCATAGCCCCCTCTGCATGATTAAAAGATGGGCTCTGCAACTGAGCTACAGAGCTTCCCCTGAGTTTTCTCTGATAAACTAAGGAAACAGGTGCATTCTACATTACAGACATGACATTCTATGCTTCTCCCTCTAGGACAGGAGTGAGAAACCATGTTTCTGTTTGAGAGCTGCATTCTCTCAGGAGTAATCTGTTAGGGACAACATGTTGGTAAGAAGAGCTAAAGCTAGCATTAGCAAAGTAGAGCTAAAAGCAAATAAGCCTGTCCTTTCTCTCAAGAGAAAGACAGAGTACTACATGCAGCTTTTAAACTGTGATTACAGCCAGAAAAGAATGGCTTGGGTGATACATTGCACAATGATGCTTCCAGATTTAGTTGCTGCATCCTCCAAGTACAGTTAGGACATCCCTTTTCATTGATAGGAAAAACCTATCAATGACCTCCCAGTCATATCAGTTCCCAGCAGTGGCATCCCTAGTGTTGCTGTCACCTGGTGCAGGTGCCTGGGGCTGCTGGAGATGCTGCCAGGCACCCAAATTCCCACCCAGGACTGCCAGGAGAGGCAGCCAGGCAAATGAAGCACTGGGGAAGGCAGGAAGGGTATATGTGCACTTGCCCTCCTTTCCCAATGCTTTGGCTTGCTTGAGTACGTGAGCCAAGGCAATGAGAAAGGAGGGACCGACCAGGTGTCACCTTCCTCTGAGGTGTCACCTGGTGCAGTCCTCACCCCCAGTGATGCCACTAGTCCCCAAGTGTGAAATGTCACTACTGATGAGTTGTAATGTCAATAGTCATGTGGTGTCAGTGTCTCCTCTTCTCCCTGTCTCCCTGTTATTCCCAAGGAAAAAAATCTGTTTCTTTTTTTGTGTATTTTTAAAACTTAAATTACAGTAGCTGAGCTCTGGAATTGCATGAAAAGGAGAAAATAAAAGGCAGGGTTAAGGAGGAGGCAGGAAGAGAGTGCAATGGCAGTGGCAGCTGCCTCAGTTCTGTGATTGACAAGATGTGTGATAATGGCTGCTGTGAAACTGGTATGTTTCCTTAAAAAAAAAAGCTGGCCCAATCATTCAGCTTGTGTGGTAATGTCCTCTCACACACACACACACTTATCTCTCTCATTCTGACACACCATTTTCTTTCTTCCTGCACCCCCTCTTCTCTCCACTGAGGAGGAATGTTGGGAATGTGACAATAACTCTTGCAGAGAAGTCAATTAACCACTTGCATGGGGCCTTCAAAATAAGTCTGAGGGCCACACAAAATAAGGTTGCAGGCTACATCTGGCATTAGGCTGGAGATCATCCAGTTCCAGGAGGTATAGTTTAAGACTTGCTGGCTGCTCACTTTCTAAAGTGTGTGAGTCTGGAATTACTACTGTATTGCATAGCTTTTTAAAATTCAGTCTGCCTGTTGACTGAAAATGCATGCAGACCCTTCATGTGCAGGCTGGGCTGTCCAAATCCACTCAATAAAGCCCATTTCCAAGCCATGAAGAGCTCTTGTTTCCCACCACCCAGGCTTTTAGTCCATCATGTCTGCTATGCCAAATGCACCCTGACACCAAGCCATCACCATGTCCTCAAGCCATCCCCATGATCAGGAAGCAAAGAAAAAGGGAGCAAACACAAGAGCGGGGATGTAATCTCATTAAGGAAAAGAAAGAGAGAATTTGTGACTAATTAAAAGCCACCATTTATGCTGTATTTATCAAGGGAAGACTAATAATGTTAATCTCTGCAAACAACATTGATCAAGTAGAAGAAATACAGAGGGACATGAATTCCAAAGTCTGAAATGAGAGCTGACACAGAGGGAGAGGAAATCCAGTGACTGGGCACCTTTTAATAGCTTTGTTTTAACTTTAAAGCCCTAAATGGCCAAGAGTATCTTAGGATATGCCTTCTTTTACACATACACACACACTAACCCCGATGAAATTTTCCTTTACTTTCCACATTTCTAGCATTGCAGTAAATTAAAACTTTGGTTGAATATTTAATAATACAATTTAGGCATCCAAAGAAACGGGGCAGACAGTTTGACCAAAGAAATGCAAACACAGTGGGACCTCAGTATCCATGGGGAATCTGTTCTGTACCCTCCATCCCCCGTCCGCGGATACCAAACTCTGCAGATGCTCAACTCCCATTGTACCCAATGGTGGTGTGCCACGTGCATGTATCACCGTGCATGTATCATGCTTAAATCTGTGGATGGCAAGTCCACAGATATCGAGATCCCACTGTAGAAGGGTTCTAGATGCAAAAGATTTTCCAAGTCTCATTCTTTACAATGCTACGTGAGGACTGAAGGAAAATTTCATTTGGAGAGTTATCCTTTTTATGAGGGAATAATGCCTTCATTTTGCACACACACATCATAGCTATACCTGTCTCCCTATCACTAAAAAGTTGCCTGCCCCTTATCTAGACCACTGTATAAATAAATGGTCCTTTAGATGTTTATACTTTTGCACTTGCTATGCTTATTCACCACCTCTGCTCCACTGATATCGCTATTGTCTGTCTACCCCAAGAAAGATAGATGTCTCGCCTTCAAACTACCTTATTTTCCTGCGTATAAGACTACTTTTTAACCTGCAA